GGTCTCCTCATGGGTAGACAGTTTCTCAGCCAGAGTTAGGCAGTGTGAATTCATTAGAAGCCTATGATCAAGACTTAATGATGGGCGGTGGTGGCAGTGCACACATTTAATCCCAGCACTCGGGAGGTAGAGGCAGGTGGATCTATGTGAGTTCAAGGCCAGCCTGGTCTCCAGAGCGAGTTCCAGGACATTGAAGGATATTATACAGAGAAACCCTGTCTCAAGGCCTTGCCCACTCTTGCCTTTGGTTGCCCCTTGAAATCACTCTTATCTTACCCCTTACCTGGGGTTAGTCCAACACCATGCCCACTTTTGCCTGTTTGCATGTGCCGGTCATATGCATTTGGAATGCAGGAGCATCCAGTAAACCATTAATCGACAAGTCAGCTATTAACGAAGCCCGGAGGGAAAGAGTGCCTATCTCATCTCACAGTTCAAGCCCCTCAACTCTGACTCTTGCCTGGTTGGTTCTGATAACCATTAATGATACAGATCATGGAGTCTGCACCATGCCTGACCCTGGAACAAACACTTAGTACTCTTTGCTACCCTCTACCCCTCTCCGTCTCTTCTTGTAGTTTCAGCCCCTCCCTGCAACAGCCCCCACCCAGTGCCCACTCTGCTTTCTCCCACAACCCTCCAAGAGAAGTTAGATCTTAACATTTTAATGACATTTATTTCATTTGTGTGTATTTGTGTATGAATGTGTCTGTGCTACGGCTTGGGCCAGTCCTTCCCTGGTAGGAGTCCTAGGACTGAACCCCGGTCACTGGCTCCTTGGCCCATTAGTTCATTTTGATGACCCAAGAACTTAGATATTAAGGAGAGCTATTTCATGAGTTCAAATGAATTCCTGGGCATCTAGGGAAATCTTTATAGCAATGCTGTTTTTATGGGGCGGGGTGTGCTATTCTTTAATCTTTTTTTCCCCAGACATTAAAATACTCAAACAGAATTCTGGATTTTTCTTTCTTTTTTAAGATTCTTTTTTCTTTTCTTTTCTTTTTTAAAGATTTTATTTATTCATTATGTAAACAGTCTTCTGCCTGCAGGCCAGCAGAGGGCACCAGATCTCATCCAAGGTGGCTGTGAGCCACCATGTGGTTGCTGGGAATTGAACTCAGGGCCTCTGGAAGAATAATCAGTGCTCTTAACCTCTGAGCCATCTCTCCAGCCCCCTCCCTGGATTTTTCTTTTAAGGATTACTTTTTTGACCTGGTGTGGTGGTGCACGCCCTTAATCCCAGCAGTGGGGAGGCAGAGGCAGGTGGATCTATGTGAGTTCAAGGCCAGCCTGGTCTCCAGAGCAAGTGCCAGGACAGCTAGGGCTACACAGAGAAACTCTGTCTGAAAAACAAAGCAAAAATAATTTTTTTAATTTAAAAAGATTTTGGTGTTTTGTCTGCATATGTGTGTGTGTGTGTGTGTGTGTGTGTATGTGTATGTGTGTATGTGTATATGTATGTGTGTATGTGTGCACATGTGTGCGTATGTGTGTGTATGTGTATATGTATGTGTATGTGTGCACACGTGTGCGTATGTGTGTGTATGTGTATATGTATGTGTGTATGTGTGCGTATGTGTGCATGTGTATATGTATGTGTGTATGTGTGCACATGTGCGTGTGTGTGTGTGTGTGTGTGTGTGTGTATGTGTATGTGTGCGTATGTGTGCATGTGTATATATATGTGTGTGTGCGTATGTGTGTGTATGTGTGTATGTATGTGTGTATGTGTATGTGTGCATATGTGTGCATGTGTATGTGTATATGTATGTGTGCACATGTGTGTGTATGTGTATATGTATGTGTGTATGTGTGCACATGTGCGTGTGTGTGTGTGTGTATGTGTATGTGTGCATATGTGTGCATGTGTATGTGTATGTGTGTGTGTGCATATATGTGTGTATGTGTATATGTATGTGTGCACATGTGTGTGTGTATGTATGTATGTATGTGTGTATATCAAGATTATACCTAATGATCACAGAGGCCAGAAGAGGGTACCGGATAACCTGGACCTGGAGTTACTCTGTGTGTTATTTGTGTGTGTGCCGTGTGCATATAAGAGCCCTTAGAGGCATAAGAGGGCATCAGATTTGAGAACTGCCCTTTGGGTAGCATCTTTCCAGGCCCCGCAGGTTCCTTTAAAAGAGAAGCCAACAGCAGGGCCCCAGTGAAAAGTGTGACATCACAATGCAGCTGCCGTCCAGTGGACAGCTGGAGGGAAATGTCATTTAGTGTATGTTAGGGACAGCTTGGCTAGCTGGTGATGCCTTCTTCCGGAGTCCCAGAGTCATGAGCTTTTAGAATAAAACCTTCCTCTCTCTTCACAGCTTTCTGCCTCAACACTATGAGTTGTCCATGAAACTCACATCCTCCTTTACAAGGCAAGAGCCGCAGGCAGAGGTTCTCCGGGCTGATGGTGGACAGGGGGACTGAGCTGCCAGGGCCAGCGCACTCACTGCCCGCCCGCGGCCTCTCTCTCCCCCCTCAAGGTCTCTTCTCTCCGTGAGACTCGCAGGGTCTCATCTATCCCGAGCTAGCTCATCATCAGGCTTCTCACCCTCGATGTTGGGATTGCAGGCATCTGCCCCCGCGCCTGG